AAAAGCGGTTCCATCTGAGAATTGACTTCCTCTTTAAAAAAATCTAGTACAATTAGCGAGTTCAATCCCCTTGTATTATGTGAGTTCATTCATCCTATAAAACAGCTAAACATAAACATGTTATTATCTAAAATATTCATAACACGATAAACGCTAACTCATTACACGGAAACATGTGTCAGTTCATTCATCTCATGTTTATCTTCCTACTAAAAGTTGTCATAACACGTCAGATGACGATGCGCAATATGATTGTTTGATTATTTCTTCAGAGCTCACGTGGCGGATGTGAAGGTTGTGGGAGGGGAGGTGGAGTGCTCACGCAATAGAACTGCTTCTTACCAGTTTTCTTCCTTGTTTACTTCCATCGAGGTCAAAGGTTATCTGGGGAGGGACGGGGAGGGGTTATCAAAGGTCAGATTGGTCGAGCTCTCTCTTTGCTTCCTTACTTATGTCTTTCGCAGATGTCGACTTAAACGTCTTTCCTTGTACTTCGATGGTACGTTTAAGAGATTTGCAGGGCTTAAGTCTTAAGTAAATTTTTTTAACCCAACTTCCATCTTCGGCTTGATATGGTATATGGTAGTGATTTAAAATGAAAAGGGAATCAGGACCAAACATGTTGCAGCTGTTGTAAATGTAATAGAAACTTAGAAAAATAATTACTGATGGACAAGTTTTACATATAACTCTGTCTTTATTTATTTTACAAAACTAAAGAATGTAAAGTTGAGGTGTATGGTTTTTCTTGTCATGAAAACGGAGGCTGCTAACGTGAATTGATTCATGTCCAATTACATCTTCAAAAGAATGGATGAAAAAGTAGCTGCACACATGGTCAAAAACAGTACTAATGTAAAACGTTTGTTAACATTAAATCTAAATTATCTTTAAATACTTTTAATAAAAGCTCATGAAGGTTTTCTTAAATTTTGCGGTAGAGTGGACATGAGTCAGTTTGCTGTGTTGAATTGTCAAAGAACGAGATCGAAGGCATGTTAATGATTATTAATTATTGTATGCATGTTAATGATTAAAAATTATTGTATTTTTTAAGTGAACAATGTGCACATAATATGGCAGTGTCAATGAATTGAAATCATCTTGATTTCTTTTCTACATGATTTTTTAAATGTTTGTTCTACGCTCTATTGATTGTATTTCATTATACTATGTTTTCACGTACTTATAATTTTGTGGATCTGACAATAAAGTTCAGTTTGATTTCATTGACTGTAGTTTATTTATTTTTAATTTCCTTGTATGAAGATACATTTTAACACAGGGAGAATACGATTCAATTTGCAAATCACATCCCCGCTGTGGTCTTCTATTAGTATTACCTGAGTCATGGCGATGACAGCCTATTAATCGAAACTAAATTTACGAGTAAAACTCTCTCGCCATTGATCCACGTAAAAATTTAATTCTTGTTTTCTAAATTATGTAGTGAATTTGATTATACATAATGTAGTTACCATTTATTAATACACTTTTTGGTACTATTGTACATGTTTTTTGATTAAATGCTTTCCGCTTTCAAGAATCTGTGATCCTTTATCTGTCGTAGGTGCATTACGTTTATTCAAATTCTCATGATCTGATGATTTTTTTCTTTGTGGTACCGAAAGAACACTTTTACTTATTTCTCTAGGATGCTGGATTGCAATGGACGATCATTTTAATCGAGAAATCTCCCAAAATACGCATTGAAATAAAATTTCAATATTTTCAATATGGTAAGTTGTAGCTGTACATGCCAAATTGTGGGAGCGGATTTCAACTAAAATTGTCAATTTTCCCACAAAAAGTAATATTTATTTCTACAATATTTTTCTTATCGTCATAAATAGCGCCAAAGATTAAAATGAATTTCCCTTAGAAGTATAAAATTCATAAAAATCGGCGACATGCAATTTTTTTGTCTTATGTACATTTTCGTGCCTCAATTAAATACAATTTCGGATCATTGATCACGTACTAAATGGTTAAAATAATTATTGTATGAATTAAAATAGTTAAACTGAAGAGTAAAACTAGTAGTGCTACAACAGCACTTACTTTCTTTCATTGTTTTAACGATCATGCTATCTACGTCAATCTTTTAAGAGTCTTTTACACTATCCAAGGACAAAGTTTATTTAAAAAATTTAATTTTTAGAACATTTTGAAAATGTGGTGTTCCAATGTAATGTAATGCTTCACTACTTTTCGCCGTCACGCCATGAATGACGAATATACCTGGTGGAGCTGCAGAATGGCACGAACTTTTTTTTAAATTTTGTTTGGTCTCGGCTATTTATACGAACTTGCGACATACTTTTGCCAGTTGCCATCTATCGCCGTCCAAAACGTAATTTTTCGTTTTTCTAAAACCTCGACCTAAATTTGGAGCCGCATTCAAAAATAGGCATTAAAGCGCTACTGTTAGTTTGAAATTTAAAGCTCTTTTTCAAACTATTTTTCAGTTTTTGAAAAACTTTATTTAGCTATTTGAAGCACATTAACTTAAAAACACAATAGTGTTTACAAATTGATGGAAATATGCATATGAACGGTGTGAGATAACGTACAAAGTAATTACATTTGTATAACTTTTGAAAAAACAAAAACTACCTCGAAATGAAGTGTAAGATTCTCACGGTTAACTCTGAATTTTCGAAAATTTAAAAAAAGTTAATTTTTTCGCGTATTCCCACAACTACAATATTGAAGCGAGATATTTTCTTTCAAAAAAAATTTTGTCCATAGTTCTTTCATTAAGAGCATGCACATTTTTTGAACATTATACTAGATTTCGCGCAATATTGCCAGCAATATGTACAATTTAAAGAAAAATTACAAAAACAAGATTTTCTCAAAAACTGCTCAATTTTTTTTCTTTTAACTCTTGGTAAGATAGTGTTACTGCACTCAATTAGATGACATTAACATACATTGCCATGTTCTTTTGTTATTGAAAAAACGACATAATTTTTTGGACTTGCCTCACGTCGTTAATATTTATATTAACAGCTATTTGTTCACATTATTATATCTATGAGTACTTGTGCTTTAAATTAGGTCACATAAAGTTTCTCGAAAACTCAATTGTTTTTTGCGAAACCTAGCTCAGAATTCAACATTTTCAGAAACACTCAAACGCTATTTTCTCAAAAAAGGGTTCCATTTTTTTTTCTTGAAACTTTTGCAACGCATAGTGCTTATTGCACACCTTAATACTACGTAAAGATCATTTCAGGGTATTTTTTTCAAAAATTGCACAAATGTATTTTTTTTTTAATTTCTCACGCTGTTAATATGAACATTTTCAATAATTTGTAAACACAATTGTATATGTGAGTTAAATTACTTTAATTTTTTAAAAGAAAATTGCATTTCTCTTTAAAATGCATAAACGAATATTTGTTATATTATTACGAAACTGAAAAATTAAGAGGAAACGTTTAAATGTTTTTTGGACGTCGATAGATGGCAGCTGATAAGTGTGTTCAGTGGCAAGTTCGTATAGCTAGCAGAGAACAAAGGAAATAGGAAACTGATACGGGAAAGTGTGTGCCATTCTCTAGCGCCACTAGTTTCATTATCAGGGCCCAGCAATGTACTTTTTTTCTGCCGCTCTGTCGCACGGCATTACTGCACATTCCCCATACTAGGTAATTTACTCCGTATATACTTTTGTATACGGGAAAATTAAAAAGGGTTTTAATCAAAATCAAAAAGGGTTTCCTTTGTGCTAGAAAATTCGGAAATAACTTTGGAATAAAAATGTGTGTTTACAGTTAAAATGTGTAAGTTCTTTACGGCATCTGGCGATGGAAGACCTTCTGAATGTACCCTAAGTGTGTTTCTCCTTAAAAAAAAAAGTATTCTCACTTTAGTTTAAAGGTATTTTTCACACTACGTTACCATATTTTGTCAGATATTTCGATGTCTCAATTTTAAAGGACCACTCTGTAATGTCCTCTCTCTACTAGCCATCCATTCATAGGTCACTTCAGTTCATCTTATGGGCTTGAAATTAGTTAAAATACTGTATATGAGGGTAGTCATAAAATCTGTAATACGTTTCAAATTACAGGCCGAACACATTGCAAAAAGTAAAATAAATAATCATTTTATTCTACAATATAGCTGTACCAGAGTAGAATGAAATAGTTTTGGGGTAACTTGTGACAAGGAATGTTAATTTCGTAAACAATCTTCAGTATATTTTCTTTAAAGAATGTTAAAACTTTTCTATTTTCTGTTAAGAAAATTATAGGTAAGTGCATACATTGACATGTGGTAACTCTAAAATTTCACAAGTGTATTAGTGAATTCAAGATCATGAAGACTTCTGAAAGGTAGGTACGATGTAGTGTATACATTCAGTAACAAAACTGAATCAGTAGAATTCAGAAGCAGTTCTGCTGCTGCGATCTACTGATGAGTTCTCATTTCCATTATGCATGCGATAGGCTTGTATGACAAGTAAGTCCTAATCAAATAATCTGTAGAGAGTTACGTATTAAATCAATTTAACATACTCGTGCAATATTGATAAGATATCTTACACATAAAATGATCGGAGGTAAGCAAAGAAATGTTCAAGTATTATTAGGGAATTGTCAGTAAGTAATCCATAATGCATTTGGCAATCAGGAACGAAGAGTATTTTAAGTCAAAACTAGTGGTGGTAGAGAATGGCACAGACTTTCTCTTTCTAGTTAATTTTCCAATTACTTTGGTCTTGTATTTTTGGTTTTGCCTCATCATCTTCTCAGCTGTCTATTGCTGCCCAAACTACATTTATTTCAATTTTTGGTCCCCTATTTGTAGAAATGATTCAAGACTAAGGATATTATAGAAGATTCCAATACAGAGTGTCATAAAATAGACCACCTTGCATAGAACGGAACCTCCCGTTAATATTCTGCAAATATTTAAAAGTAATAGTTTTTATTACGGCGAACGGAAAGCAGCATGTTCTTTGTACGGCGTTGCAACAATTGGTAACAACCAACAATAACCGTTCATCTATTCGTTTTCAGTTAACATAATTAAACGACTTATATTAAAATGAAATAACTAAATATATTTATAATTATAATAAAATGAAATAATATACAAATTCTAACTTACATAGGGCCGGTTTCACCAAACTCGTTTAAGTATCTAGCTAATCGTGTTTAATCACGATTAAAGTTAAACTCACCATAAAATCGCGTTTAGATGTGCATCTGTTTCACCATAGAATATATAAAAACGATTAAGTTAATCAAGTTTCATGTTGAAAATTATAGGTGGGTTTTAGTCGCGGACTATTCTGGGACTCGAATTTTCTGATGTATGCTGCGCTTTTTTTAGTTGGTGTGTATTGTGAATTCTTCTGAAAGTCGTATCGTGTAGTTGTGTTGTGAAGTTTTCGTAAGTAGGTTTTACCTCTTTCTAGAGTTGCCACTTTCGAGATGGAAGCCACCCGGAGATGATTGATTACCGGGGGGGGGGGACGTGAAGGTGCAGAAAAGTAAATATTCAAATTCACAATCAACATTTATTATAAAAGAGTGCAAGACTTCTTTACGATTAATTAATAATAATACATTTATAATGTTAATAATACATTAATTACTACAACATTATATTTCTGTTCGACTAGACATTCATCACAAAATCAGTATTCTTCACTAATCACAAATATACCGTTTTGCTATCTATTCCATCTATATGTTTTCATTTGACAGCGGCTTTCTTTAAGCAATTCTATTTGGGCTGTTGGACTAAGAATCTGAAAAATTCCACGCAGTCATTTCATAATTAACTTAGTCAAACAGCTCCGCTTTGAGCGGCAGACTCATCTTGTTTCTATATCGGTCCATAAAGTTTCCCATGATAGAAAATACGCGTCAACCGAAGCGTTGCTTACTGAATCCGTTAAGACAGTCGCGACAATCTCGGAGCTCATTAATAGATTGTGCAGATGAGAAAATGTGACCCATTGATATCTGTGGAAATCAATTATTGACACATCAGCAATAACTTCGTGTCACAATTTGCCCACTCGTCATACAAGTTGGTCTAAATCTACATTTAAATTATTGCTTTTACAACCCTGTACAACTTTGTCATGATGAAGAAATCCCCCCCTTTCAAATTAAGCCACGGTGAAATATTGATAAGACTCCTTTTTGAAATCATACCACTTTTCAGTATAATTTAAAGCTTGTTTCGTATACAGTCAATGCGTTCCTTTTAAAATTTTCCGACGATCAGCTGAATCAAGGCTGTTCAGGCACCATTAACTTTGCTCCCGAAGAATTTGTCTCGGATCGACGAGCTACGTTTATCTTTCAATAAACACCATTATATTGTACTTCTGAAGATCCATGTATGTTCATTTCGTTCATGAGTCGAGATTGTTTGGACATAATGTTCATAAAATGATGCACAAATACCAATAAGCAACAGCCAAAGTTAAGCACAACCAGTCAAGACGTCCTGGAAAGTTCATTTTTTGGTCTCCTAAAACTTCCAAATAGATTTTTGATTCTCATCTCCCTGATTAATAAAATATTACTTTATAGCTGGCCAGCATTGTATAATCCGTTCTACAGCTCCAAAAAGGGATAACCACCGGGTAACAACGTGGCGTAGTACTTTCAATATATAAGTACAACTAAGTATTCAAATATATAAGTACACTATACAATCACCCGATTTTATAGTGTTCTACTCTACATAGTGACTGCCTTGTGAACTATCTTTACGAAATATTTCTTAATAAATTAGTTAAACACAAGTAACCTTTTCTTTTTATCAATCAATGATTTTGTTTTCTTCAAAAGAAAACTTTATTGTCCAACAAACAGATTCGATGTGTAAATTACACTTATCAATACGTTAGAGAGGCCTAATTGACAAGATCGTCTGAAAAAAAAATGTCAACAAATTTTGAAGATAGTGAATAAAATAAAAAAAATTAAAAATAAAAGTTACGTAGAAATAAGAAACGAAATTAATTAAAACATCAAGTATAAATGAAAAAATATATATAAGTAATTAGGAAATTGACATAAAAATGTACTTTGGGTGACGATAGGTGGCAGCTGGGAAGAGTACGTGTCAAGTCCGAGTAGCTAGCCGAGACGAAAGGAAAAATAATACTAATACGGGAAAAATCTGTGCCATTCTGTAGCTCTGCTAGTTATGAATTGTCATTACCACAGAGACTAGCGTTCATACAGGCCGGCAATATGGAGTTTATGTTTTATGTTGCAGTTCACCAAATCACACGACCTTTCATAAAAATAATTAATAACAAAGCAATATTTCATTATATATTGTTTTAATTCTAGTATTTTATCAACATGTTACTTTTTTATGTTTTTACACGATAATTAAAAAAAATGATATCATGAAACAATCTTTCACATATATTGTTTTAATTGTAGGTTTTATCAGCATACTACACTTTCATCAGCGTGGGAATTCAATGCCTTACACGCCGGTCATTTCAGTTATCCAACTGCGCACCACTGCGATGTGTGTGTACACGCCAGGGCAGTGCGGTCTAGCACAGCCAACTCCCCAAGAGATGATGCCAAACTGGGTTTTTTTAACCACAAGAGCGCCGCCAGAATCGCCCTAGGGATCAAAATTGCGGTGAGAAAAAAAATCGTTATTCATTAGAAACAAGTGGAATTAAGCCAAGAATATTCAGTTTAGTGATTGCAATTATTAAATGAAGGAACACACTTTCTTAATTTAATCCATAAAAGAGAATAAGAAGTGAAAGGCGATGCCGTGTTGAAGACAGAGATTTTTTCCTTAATGAAATCTAATCTTTGAAGATAGAATCTGAAATAAGGTTACGTTCGATTTTTCGAAAATGTGAGTAGTTTCGCGCAAAAAAAAGGCAATTTTTTTTAACTTGTCCCCAAACCGCTCCAACTTGTTTCGTTCAATTTTCTCCTTGTATGTGTTAAGGGACGGTAAACAAATGGGGCTAGTCCCTTTTCTGGAAAACCCTCCGCATTTTTCGATAATTGCAAAACTATAACATTTGAAAACTACAAAATTGAAGAGACTTTTGCTTTACACAAGTTGCAAAAATGCAGGTATTTAAAAAACAAAAATTGTAGGAAAATGTATCCTCTTTAAAATTGGTTTGAGTAATTTTTCTACAGGACTTACGGTTAAAGAGCTGTAGAGAAAAAACTAAAAGATTGAAAAATACAGTTTTTTCCGGCGTCCTGGTCTGGGAGGTCGAAAACATGTGGGTATTAGTAGAAGGTATATCCAACATATCCAAAGACAATTTTTTATTTACATATTTTTTAGGAAATACCTCTTTTGTAATACCTACCGACTGGACTATGTAGCCACTACCGCCCCTTCTGCATGTGTTATAAACAGAGGCGGAACTTAAAACCAAATATATTTTTCGTGTAATTTTGAATTTTATAGTTTGCGTTTTTCGAATGATTGTTGAAGTGTTAGTAACATAAATGGTGCTATATGATAATATTAGTCCCCTGCAGTTACCAATAATACGAGTACGTAGTTATGTTTGTAGCTAGGTTGAACTTGGTCTACCCCTCCAAAGTTGAAGCTAGAGGTACAAATAGGAAGACTACTCGAGAATGTGGTTGTGTATATCATGAACGCAGTGCAAAAATCCATGTCGTAAATGCCGTGCTAAGGAAAAAAGTATTACAAAACTAATCAGTTCGTTTTTTCGTTGTTCTTTTTAATTACGGAAAAAAATATGGAAGACCGAAGAGCAGGAAATGACCAAAGATGGACTGGTTAAGAATCGAACGAAGGAGAGAAATGGATTTCAGAGGAAAGAGAAAGAAAGAGAAAAAGAAAAGGTATGTTATAATTGTTTTCTTACTACACACGCATCTCGTTCTCCTGTTAGATATCCAGCGCAGAACATCGTCTTAGTTATCAGTAAGCCATATGCTTCTTTGCAGTCACGATAGGATAGAATTGGCACTTCCACCTTACGGAGATTATGTGACGATTGTGATGACCATTCCTAGAACGTGAAATATTGACGCATCCAGTAAACATACATATTTACAGCATTTCTGTCGAAACTTTAATAGCGACATGACACAATTTCAATATGTCAACTCGCTTTCGCAAACTTTCTTGAAACTATTTTTTATGTCCTGTAAACCCATCGTTGACACATAGGTACTACTCGCTTAACACGAATTTTGCCGCAACACGAACAAAATTTTTTACTTGGCAAGGAAATAGTAAGCTGGCTTTACACTTGCAAGAAAATAGCGGGCAATATTATTTCGAAAGAAAAGTTGCCAAGGTAAACATTGCTGTAATAAATATTTCTGATGTTGGCAATATTTCTTGCTAGATATTCTAGTCGTGTGGCGTCATATCAGTCGCCTTGTACAAACGTGACAAATATCAGCCACGTGCATTTCATGTTCATGGACAGCGCTACTGGGAAGAGACGCCGGGCAGAACAATGGCAAACCTATGGAGCGGAAGGGAAGGGGTGCCGTGTCGTGGGTGGCCACTTGTGAACCCCGTAGACAGGCTGGTTGTGGAAACGCGTCGGCGGAAACAGCGAGATAACGCAGTTCCGTCAGCCGGCCCAGAAGGTATATAAACGGACCCCGGACCTAAACTCCATTCTTCTGATTCTTGGGCGCTCGGTTAGAAGTCGTGTGGGCTGTGCGGGGCGGTGCATTGTTAATGCATGAAGCTACTGAGCAGGGAACTGAAGCCGGCGTGCTACGTCGAGACGGGAGGTGCGGCATACTCGCTTGTATGCTCACGTAGTCGCTACGTGGTGCATACACACGAAAAAGATATCTAAGTTAGTTCAGGCCAGCGTGGTGGGTAACCAGGAACATTCCTTCTAGTAACGGAGTCAAATGTTATTGTATAATATTATTGTTACCATAGTATTTCAGGTGTTGGAGCATTTTTTCAAATAAATACTCAATAAATTACAAACCGTTCACGTCTGTGATTTAGTGTCCCGGCAAAGACGCCACAGTCGTAATGTAAACTCGTGTGTTCCCATCCTCGGAAAGATATTTCCGGCTCTTGCTAGGACTAGAATTGGATTGAAGTCTGAGAAAGATATTGCTGGAAAAAGCCAATGATGACCATGGTCACATGCGCAGGAAGTACATACGGTGGTACATAGGTGTAATATTTGAATTTTAATATGCATTTTTTTCATAAAATGGGTGCGAAAAAGATTTAAGACAATAAAAGAAGTAATAAATATTCCCTCTATGGTTGACTATCAAAGGTTCAAATTTTGGTTCAGCTATAGATTGTCCTTTATTATTTTGTTACGTTAAAATTATTAAGATATTAATCTAATCCAAGTGAATTTTAAGATTAATTTATAGTACATCAATGGTAGATAATGGATATTTTAAAACTTGTTACCGAATTATAAAATGCACTTTTTATTAAAAGAAAATGACTTTGCCGCCACGAGAATCGAAATCCACGGTATCATTTTGTTTTATGAAAAATATTGAGACATGTCTACCTAATTCGCACAATCCCCCTTATACTTTCTTAAAATTCAGTCACACGTCCTTTCACATCGTCGGCGTTACTTCATCTCCTCATTTAGCACAATAAGTGCGACCGCAACTCGCATCTTCTGTCTTCCACTACAGGTATGTCGGAAAATGAGATAAACCTCACTTAATTTGATGCGCCATTTTCCTCGCACCGTCACCAAACAGGCAACAAAAAGTTCTGATGAAAAACGATCAATATCTTGCCGGAAAGATCTTGCTCAGATCTTTCTGACAATGTATTGCACCTCCATGCTCTTGCTAGTGTAAAGATCACCGCAAGTAGCAGAAACAAATTGCTGAAACATATTGTGGAAACGTATTGCTAATGTAAGGCCAGCAGTATATGTATACTTATTTATTTATTTATGTCAAAAACAGTTAAGAACTGTGTGTGACGTGCTATGGGGAGAAGTTAATTTGAAGTTACATTTATGTCCAGAAGCGAAACAAGGGGCCATCTCAGCAATGCTCGAGGATCATGGAAACTGGACGAAAATCTGATCGAGATGGGGTCATTGACCCAGAAGCTGAAGTACAATACTTGTTACAAGTTCTTTACAATTATACAATTCAAATGGTATATAATACATTAAATGTCATCGTTAAAATTAATATTACTTTCCTCTTGGATGCTCGATAGCTTCTAATTGTATAGAAACAGTTGTGGAGTAGAAAAGATTTTACTTTGGACTTAAACTTTTGTATCGAATTTAATCGTCTAATGTCATGTGGCAAGGCGTTGTAAAATAATGTACATGTATATGTGCATTTTTTGTACTGAGCTGTTGGTACTGTCACCTGATGAATATGATTACTACGTCGAGTGTTGTAGTTAGAGACAACGGCGTTTGCTGAAAATATATTCCTGCCCTTAAGTAAGTCATTTTTAACAAACACCACTGATTCATATATGAAGAGACAGGGTAATGGTAAAATACCTAGATTAATAAAGAGAGGCTTACAAGATCACTTGGGTGGGATTTGGTTATTATTCGTACAATTCTTTTTTGTAATCTAAAAGTCTGAGAGCTATAAGCTGTATTCCCCCAGAATATTATGCCATATCTCAGGTGGGAATGAACATTCGCACCTGAGCAACGTGAAAATGCGAAGTCATACACAAGAACATTTATTCATTCTCTTAGCATTATTCACAGTTTTGTTTCCTCCATATTCACTTGAAATTCTTCACGTTTAATCCGTTCCGAGGCAATTATGTTCGTAGGTTTTCGCAAATGTATTTTAAAAATACAATAATTCGAATCTAAATTGAAATCAATCTGCAGCGCGATTTACTTGGTAATGCAATTGTTCACTTAAAGATGTCAACATCGGTGTTATCAACATCGTAAAAGAAAATTATGACGTATGTTACGAAAAATACTTATGGACATTGATGTTTAATCAACGCCACCTACATAGATCGATTTAGGAGTTAGTTTAATTCCTGGGATTATCAATAAGATCGCAGCGCCAAAACACAAACAAACACGTTTTTGGACATTTCTTTGATTATTCTGGCCGTATCCGAGAAAAAAATTATCAGTCCCCCATTAAGTGACGGAGACGCATCGAACGCTCTTACGTCTCGATTGGTGCGCGGGAAGTGGTCTAGTCGCAAGTGACGGAACTACACGCATCCGTACACTCCCGAGTTTTACTCAAATACTGTATAAAGATTACTGAAGATTTAATTATTGGTCGTATTGTTATACGTCTTTCCTCTTTTCATGGAAGTCCTGGCAATATGATTTACTATCAGGAACCAATGGCCACTGTGAGAAAATTCGGAAAACTGAACATATACATTACATTGACTTGCAATGGAAATTGGAATGAAAATCAAACAAACGGAATTTCTCACGAAACATAAAATAAACCGGTTGCAGTAGTGCTGTTTTCACTTCTGAAGTTAATAAACTTATTTAGTTAGAAAAAAAATAGATTTTTGGATAAACAAAACCTGCACTGTAGAGTAATAGTAACGTAGTTTTGTTCACTTGCTTTTTTCTGTTCAAGAATTGCATACATTTCGATAAAACGAAGAAATTGATTTATTAGTCTGTGCAGAAGTCCCAAATCCCAACGGCAATGTACAATTATACAAGTTGGTAATTTCTTCTAATTCATAGCCGTGAACTCGCCAAAACTTTGCAAGAGAGATACTTTTTCTTGAAAAATGATCCCTAGTTTTTTTTTTTTTTTAAGAAACAAGAGAAAATCTCCAGTCCCTTTTGCGGTCGGTGTAGGGATTCTAGATGTATATTTGCTGCTTTCAAAACGACGACAGGAGTGAACGCTACCATTGACAATATATAGGTGGTTCCTTACAATCGTTTGCTATTTCCAGGCGCACGTCAATGTTGAAATTGATCACTCAAAAAAGCACATTTCATTAACTTTTGACCTCGAATACCGTACAGGACTCTTAAGAGAAAGGTGCATGTTTCATGTTCGTTGAATATTCTGATTTTTGTAAAATGTAAAAATTCAACCTTTTTCGTCGTCTTCTTGTAACTACAATTATCCAGATAAACTTTTTTCTTACTGATATGTGTTCATCAAAAACATATATTAAAATAAATCAATTTTTAAAATGTAAGAATTATGCGAAATTTTGTCATAAATAGTCAATTTTTATTTTCTTGACGCTGGAGCGCGGCCGTGGTCTTGGCTGCATCTGTCCGAGCCGACCCGCCCCTACCCGTCGGTCAACGCCACCAGCTGGGTGTGTTCTACTGCCGGGACAACAACAAGAATGGTAATCACCAGCTTTACTCCCGCTAAAATGCGATAGGACAATAATTGAGAGAAGCTGAGAGAAAGATGCCGACAGCATCGGCATTTATGGTGTCCTAACCAGTTTATTTAGTTTGTGTCGACTCAACAATCAAAATTAAAAGAAAGGTCGCATCTCTCAACTTTCGAATAAATTTCATGTAATTTCATCTGTCATTCATGCCCATCACTTTAGATATTAAATATGTTTGTTTGTTAAATTTAATATGAGTGTATTATTGAAAACCACATCCCGGCTTCCACATACCAAGCTAGAAGGAATACACTCCAGCTGTAGCACTTACCGTAAAATCCCATATGCAGTATATTTCTTCCTCCAAAATGTCCAGTATATTGTTAGAAAATGATATACTGACAAAATATTCATTCAATGCAAAAATACTCATATAATTAAATAATTAAAAGGGATGTAAGCATAATTAGTGTATTTGTTTGAATTAATAAATTATTTTATTTATTTATGTTCTACTTTTTCTTAAATTTTTTCGTCCTGTTCATGGTAAAATCGATGGCCACATTATGTATATTTTATTATTGTTTTTTTACTTTCTTGCTAAGTAGTAGAGAAAGTTATGTAATGCCGCGCAAAATAACGGCGAATTTTCGGCAGAAAAACTCTTATTAGAAGGCCCTGGTAACGAAAATCCTCTAACACGTGGTGTAGCCGGAATCCATGTTTTATGGATCCTTCATACCGAAAAATCGAATGACGGCAAAACGTATCTGTCCGACTGTCTATCTGTGAACAACGCTTGCGACTAAACCGTTCAGCCGATTTTCTCCAAAAGTGATATTCCGTAATCAGTCTGGCCGATGTGGCGGCCCCTTGAATTTGAAACCGATATTTTAATTTTTGGGGGTACTTGACATAAAGCCCCTGGCACATTTTCAAAAATATGGCTACATCGTTTTTTATTAAATTTGTTGAATAATGTGAAGGACGTTTAAGATGTCTCATTTTCGTTAAAAACCCTGATTTTCTAAAATTGCAAAATTTTTTAATTTTTTTAGTCTTCCTCGAACTATAATATTTATGATTTGAGATTTTTCTCCTTACTGAAATCTTTTCCTTAAAGATAGATTTTGAAATAAGGTCTAGTACAATGTTTAGAAAATTTTACTACTTTTCGCGTTTTTTGCGTAAAAGTACGGGCGAGATAGTAATAGTTGGTGTTTAGAATAGATACGAATAGTAATTCTGTGAAATATTTAATAACCTTGAAATTTAGAAGCTTAACTCTTCAAGAAAAGTGCGATATATAAGTTCGTCTTACACCGGTATTGAACATATCTCAATTAATTTTCTATTTTGTCTGCACCCCCTCCCAGTAATTAAAGGTACCAGCCGACACTAGTCGCTTCCTCCTGCTGGTCGCCCCTGCGGCATTAATGACAGCAAAAAGCATTGCGAATATTAATGAGTTTTCTCAAGAATGATACGGTATTCATCTACATGGAAGGGTTACTAATTCGAATTTCGTAAAATGTCACTTACCTGGTTTTTGCTCTAAGCGCCTCATTTAAATTGCCGGTTCAACCTTTCAGACCCCTAATGCCGTATTACCTGTGTCCGTCCCCAACCAGTTACAACGCCCATAGCACCCACGGGTAGATCTGATGCTGGGGCAACAAGTGCCACTGGCTGCACCAACTTCCCAAATTCGAATGGTGTTGTCACATTAATCACACCCACGTCAAAATCTTGATATCCGTCCCTGTATTTTCGATGAACTTTCTTCCAGGAGATATAGTGTAAGACACCGCCACTGGTAGCATGATTAGATCCCACTCGTATGCTCATAGAATTTTCTGGCCTGTGGGAAAATGCTCATTATTGAAATGTGTAGGTAAAACTCTCTATCATATGAAAATGTTTTACAGATACTGTAAAATCCGCTCACAAGAAAAGAGAAAAGTTTTAAATTACGAAAAATTTTATTATTTTAAAAATAATTTTTAGAATCTCTGGGTGGGTTCTGAAGTACAAACTTTTTATGTCAAGGGCAATAAATATTATACCATTATGAATGCAAACATTCCTGCAAACTACTTTGGTCCCAAGGAAATTGAAATTGAAGAAAAAAAGATATTCTCTTCTAATTGTAATTGAAAATGAATAATATGCAATTAGCTGATGTTACGGGTTACAAAATTGCTAGGTCTCTCAATTCAGTCAAACCTCAAATGGAATGTACATCTAACAGAATTAAATACAAAATTAAGTTCATTATGTTAGGCATTGAGATTTCTTTCAAATTCTGCCAGTCTTCAGCTCGTTGAGCACAGCTCGAGAGTTACCTTCTCAAATTCCTTTTACATCCGTCACCTTCTCCAAAGCCTCACCCAATTACCCTATCCAAGCCGGCGTCCCACAAGGAGTCATGCTATCCCCCAACCTTTTCTCCATTTACGTTAATGACATCCCACCCACACTGGAGTCCAAACCTTCCTCTAGGCGATGACCCTGTCCTCCTTACATCCCTTCGGGACTCCAACCCGATTCCTCTACTGACTTCAGCGGGCAATAGACTCATTCAACCTCGGGGCCTCCCAAAACAACATAACCATTAACCCATATAAATCCCAAGCAATACTCTTCCTCAATAAAAGGCATCCCTCATAACCTCCTCTTATCTCACCAAAAGCAACACTCCAGCCCTTGGAAAGACAAATTTCCTTTCCTCTCCCAACGTCCCCTCGCGTCCAACCACATCCAAGAAATAACTATCAAAACTAACGTGTCACTAGAGGCCTACATCCCATCCTTACACCCCCCAACTCTCCCAGTCAAAAAGAAAATCCAACCTACTACACTGTCACGTGCATCCGTCCTATCCTAACCCACGCCCACCCCAAAGGAATCACTTTGCCACTTCCCAAAGGAATCATATAAAAATAAGCCAAGCAGAAAACCACGTCCTCCGCACCATATTCCACCCACCCATATACACATCTTTCAATTCCCCACATCCTCACATACACAAGGAAATACATCAATAACCCCCTCTTCCGAAAACTAATCCTATCCCATCACCACATCCTCAGAAACCCACCCGGATCAACTCGAAAACAACAGCCACAACACCCCGCAACTCCCTCCCCCCGTCACTTGAGGCAGAGGGCACACAGATGTGATTCCGACATAAAAATAACGACAAAAGTACTAACAAGACTCTAACAATCAAGAAAAAAGTTAAAAGAATTCCCACATCGAAATTCCTCATCTTTCCTACCGCTCCCTCCCCCCGCCAACCCATCCTCAACCTACCCCACCTTTCCCCGACGCCCAGGTACCCTTAAACAAAATAATCTGTCTTCCCTAATAAAATAACCTTTCTTCCAACATCTAGACCCCCGATCCCCATCCCTGTACAGGGGATAGGAGTCGAGTCACAATAGTAAAGACACCATTCAAAAAACGAACTCGAGGGGTTCCCCCTACGGGTCAGGCAAACTGGACAAAACTCCACAGGCGTTGACGTTGGCATATTCAGTGTTGGCATAACATTTATTATTTCACGGTGAATCTGGCTGATGTCGCGACCGTTCAAATTTAAAACTGATATTGTAATTTTGGGGGTTTCTTTACAAGAAGCTTAACATATTCAACCTTCTCTTAAAAATGGCTTCAAATTTGTTCTTGACCTCTTTTTCTGGGATTGAGCAAAATATGCTTGTAAAAATGGTACGTCTATGATTTATTTTAAAACGTTTTGTTTTGATTTTTTTCGGAAATTGACAAAATTCGTTTCAAAATTGCTAATACTTCAGATATATTTAACTGTAATTGAGTACAACTTGGTGGCAGTGATTTACAAAATAAATTGAATACTTTGAATTCTTTGAAAAAAAAGGTACACGATATCTTTACATGTAGAGACACTTTCTTCAAGCCGAGTTGATTGGAGGCAGATTAGCTCCCGTCCGCTCGTCGAGAAAAGGCAAAAGCCAAAGCGAGGGTATAAGAACAAGGCAGACATTACCCTAAATCAGTGGCGGTTGGTCCTTAAGGGCTCTAGGGCGGCACATTCCCTTGAAGAACCATCATCGAGAAAAGTTGGAGAAAGTATTAAACTTCTTATAAATCGACTCATTTAATTTTTGCATACCATCAGCGCAATTTTTGAAGATGAATTTAGTTATGTGTCCACTTAAGTAAAAGATGAAATGTTTTTAGAACGGGTCGTATTGTGGACTACCGCGAGTCCGTCTTTGATGCATGCGAGGCAACGGAAGCTCGAGAAAGAGTGGGAATTGGGTGGGGGCAGCGTCCTGCTATATATATACGCCCCCACACATTCGGATCTCTCAGAAAACTTTCCAAAATTCCTGAGAGCATCCTACAAAGTACTGCTGGAAATAAAAAATATTTCTTTCAAATTTTGCAGGATCACAAATTGATCTAGATCAAACGAAAAAAATACTGTTCCTGAAAAAATACTGTTTACAGTTTAGGTGATTTTGTTGTTCAAGGAATGCCCGACATACAGATGGAAGAAGGAATGGAAGTTTATGAGAAAACACACCCACACACATACACAGGAAGCTCCAAAGAGAATTTCTGTCAAAATAGAGAGATAGATTTTGCAACATTACATACTTTTCTATTAACTATGCTTGTGTGAAAGTTAATATCAATATTGCTAACTGTTAATTTGCATCAGCCCGTCTTCGTTCCAAATTTAATATCTTTGTTTATACATACCAACGGAGGCAATGAGCAGCGGTGAGGACGAAATTCGCACTTATAATAGAACCTCCACAAACATGGTAGGCCTGCACAAGCACTGTAACCTGGAAAACCATTTGAGTGAATTTGTTTAAAAAGGTGGAAGAATCGTATTCATCAAAGTGAAATGTTCTCATTTATTTACCTGATATGGATAGTCTGCAATATCCACTTCTTCTCCACCCACAATTCGTTTGTCGAAATAAAATTTGTCTAGGGGAGGGACTGAAAGAAAGGACATATAACATGATATTAATTCAGAGACAGTTTTTGCTATCTAGTAAATATATGTATAAACGGACGAATTTACGTAGCACAAATACTAATGGTAATGCTATACCGAAAAGCGCCTTTTTTCGACAGAGATACCCGCTTTCTGAGTTCCTGACACTGTAAAAATGGGATTTTCTTGCTCCTGTAGGTAGTAAATTACTTTCTCTATTTGAACCCTCTCGTAATATTATATTATTGAAGGAAGAGATTTTTTCTTCGTTTGAAATTGGTGTCCACAATTAGTATAAAATTAATGTCATGTAAAATTGTTCGTAAATATTAAGTGTTTATGCAATTTTTGGTGAAATATGGTAAGTTTTAAAGACAAGATTTTGTTGAAAAGGTGATCTAAATTTTTCCTTTACTCTTCTTGTGCAGATTGTGCCAAATACCTGTACTAAATAACACGTCGTAAGCATTATTTGAGTGTATTCTTTTGATTTTTCAAAAATTACACAAATGCATTACTTTAAACATCTCTCCCGTCCTGAAAATTTACATTGTAGATGTATTTCATTGTTTAATACGTTTGTTAACACAATTCTTCAAAGTATCGTTAATTATGACTCTTCAAAAATCCATCAGGTAGTTAGGAACTATGGTACTACAAATTTGCGCATTTCCGAAAACCTTGGAAATAAAGTTTGTAAAAAACAGGGGCAATTTTTTTCTGGGAAATCTCTAAAAGAGTTCAATAGTCTTCGATATTCCGAATGTCTTATTGCGATCAATTTATTTAGGGCTAAAAAACAACTGAAAAATGAAGGAGTTGTAATGAAATGTATTCAGGAACAAACAATATAACAAGAATGAAGATTAGAACAAGAATAAATACGATTGTACTGACATTAAAAGAAAACCATCGCGTTAATTGAAATGTTCTCGAAATATTGTGATTTACAGCAGACTTTTCTGAGAAATAATTGAGAACATTGTAGAGCAACTAACTCGAGATTCTTCAATTTTAAATCCGTGAAGTTTTTAGAACTCACTAATTTTGAGAATTATAACCAAGCGCCCTTCCTAGAAGATGCTCTAGATCCGTTAATAGAGAACTATGGAACATTTTTTGATGTAGTCACATTGCGCTCAGAATTGAGTGTTAATTGTTTTGTACTGTATGGCTGATGGTATTAAGAGACTAAATGCTCAAGAATTGTGCTTTGTTCGGGAAAATAAACTGGAAAAGGCATTCTCAGAAGTGTTGAAATTGTGCGAACTTGTTATTACTATTCCCGCAACAATAACAATTGCATTCGTTAAACGCAGCTTTTCGACACTAAAACGTACAAACACGGTTTTGAGAAATTCTACAAATTAAGATAGAGTTTCTAATTTGGTACTTTTCAGTGTCGAAAAGTCATTTATTAAAAGACAGAGTGAAAATCATAAATTTTACGACAGTGTCATCCCTAATTTTGAAAAGCAAAGTCAGAAGATTCACTCTTCTCTAAATAAGGTAGTTTAAATTATTCATTTGTCGTAATATCCATATGAAATATTAAAAATCTTCCATCTGAAATGTAATTGCATCTCTAGAACAAAAATTTCACCCCGCCACTGACTCGATATAAAATATAACACGTAAAGACTCACCATTTTGAAACAAAAAAAAATCATTACGACATTAAATTAAATAGATAAAAAGATTGTACCGTGCAAACGCACGACCAGCATGGCAGTGACAATATTTCTCTCCGAATTATTTTTTGTAAAACTCATTTGAAATCGTAGAACATTTGGTGCGAAAAATAAGCAGAATGCAAGAAAGTAAAATATGTAACAGTTAATAAATATGCGATACTGATAGCG